TCCTACCTCCTTTGTCTTCAAAGCTGCTGTGAGCACTGCCCTCAAAGGGCCCCTGATCTCTGGGGGGATTCCGTTGGCTTATTTTTCTTTGCTATCCGTGTGTGCCCTGGACCTCATGTCACAGAGAAATAAATACTCCTCCTCAGTGAGGCTGAAGCGGCTGGACAGGACTCCGGGAGCCATAGCAGGGATGAATGGGAGACTGGATCGCTGGGTTTACAGCCCTCCTTGCAAGCTGCTGGAGTCCTTGGGCCGGTTTGTTGTTGAGGTTTTGCTTCTTTATAGTGATGGTCTCACATTTGCTCTGATTCAGTACAGCTGCAAAGCCTCCGGGCTTTCAGATTTCATCTCTGCCAATCCATCACACTTGATGGCCCAGAATGGCGTGGGTTCTGCTCTCTCCCTGCCTCTCCCAATACCCAAGCCTGCAGGTAACACCTAGCTGACGCCGGGAGAGATGTGACCAGTGAGCGAGCCTAGTTGACTCTGGGCAACAGCAGATCCTGCCCTCATGCATGACAGTTCGACTAAAGCTTCTCATGTAGTTTTTGGGTCTTCTCCGAATAGCTGAGTCTCATTAGGCTGTCACCGACCACGGAACCCATGAAGACACTCAGAGTGTTGGGGTGCAGTCTTAGAAGTAAATAACCATCTTCCCATGGAGTGCCCATGCAGTTGCTGGTGAGTGCACACGGGGAGCACTTTGGACCTGCAGCCCGTGGGTCAGAGGGTCTCCTGCCCAGCAGCTGCTGGCTGTTCTGGGGAATTATGGCTGTTATAAGAAGTACTTGGGTTTTAAATTCAGTGCCCCGTTTGCCTGGTTTGCAGCCTTCAGCGACTACATTAGTGGCCTACTGAGGCAGCCTGTGTGACCCTGATCTTCCTGGGAAGAGACAAGAATAATACTGAGAGCTCTGAAATAAGCAGGATCATGCCTGACATTCATACCAGCACAGTGACCAAATGCTGCCCTCACTGCATGAAGCGAGCGATGTTAGTGAGCGGCCCAACGTTTTACAAGGGCCCGAAAGGCATGATTTTGGATACTTTTTGCACAGCTACCTCCTTCTGGAATGCAGTGCTCACATTAGGACATGGCCTTTCCTCGATGCCTGCTGTTTGTTGCTCTCTGTGACTAGCTTTGCAGACATCGTCTTTAAGCTTCTAGTAGCCTTGTTTTGTATAAGATGAACCTGGAGCTTCCCTAAGCTGAAAACACTCTGCCAAGGCCTTTTGGAAACTGACATAAGCAAATGAGATGAATGAATCGCATGAAAAATAATTTGGAAGCTCCTGAATGTGGTTGGGGTTGGTGACCCCGGAATTCCCATGCACTAAACAACTCTTTCAATAGGCTTGTCTGACAGACTCAATATGCAGTTTGTCCAGACTCACTAGTGAAAGGAAGTCCTACAAAAAAAGGTTATACATTCAGTGTAATTCAAGAAACATAAGTTGGCCCATGGAACCTAGCCAAGTGCAAAGAGTATTGCCTTCCCTGGCTTTGTCCTAACATCCTACACCAGAGCAAGCCCGTGGCCTCCCCATGCAACGTGGGTGTAGAGGCAGAATCTGTCAGTGGGATTCAAAGTCCTGGGCTCCACAGTGCACGTAAGATGCCTGTCCTCACTGGGTCCCCTTCCGATGCAGGTAAATTCTTGACAGAGTAGGTTCTCCTTGCTTAATTGAGGGTAGAAGGTGAGCAGAGAAATTTTACCCAGCTTCTGAGCATTCTCTACTGTTGATGACTTTTTAAACTCTAGAATATTTTCCAAGGAAAACTGTACAGATCTTTTTAACTTGGTCATGAAATTCTTTGTCATGTTACATAATGACTATATAATTGTGGAAAGTAGAGTAAGTTTTCCTGTTGTTTTTTTTTTTTCTTTTTCTTTTTTTACCATGAGATGCAAGGAGAACACCTTATTCCCTGGCTCAGATGGGGTACATAAAGTAAGTCCTCCTTTAGAGTGACCATCCTGGGGCATGCCCATCATGCCCTTGTAGGGGCAGAATGGTCAAGTTTCAGGATTTTGTGAGCTGGTTGAAATTGGCCATGGTAGCAATATTTACACCATGGAAATCAGCAAATGCTATCCACCCCCTACCAAACCAGTTGATAAAGATGTACCAGCACACCTGTCTTCCACCCTCCGCTCTGTGCTGGCCTCAGACACCCGGGAAAGGAGGTTGCCCCTTCTCTGCGCACCTGCGAGGCTCACATCCCCTCACATCCTGACATTGAAAAATGGTGGAAATGGGAGTTTTGACCAAATTAATGGCCTTGGGCATTGGCAAGAGGGGCCACCTTCAGGGTGGCCTTGGGGTTTGAAACTACTTGACTCACTGTGATCTGAGTCCAGAGGGCTCAGAGACAGAGGTGAGAAGGAAGGCTCTGGGACAGATGTGGGATACGGGACTGCCTTTCTGCAGCGAGCTCATCCTGAGCAGGCAGCAGCTGAACTAGGGATTGATTTTATTTAAAGTCAGCTCACCGTTTGCCTTGATCTCTGGTGCTCAGTCCTAACACGGTTAGGAGCCAGGCACTGTGCCCCGTTTTGGGGAGACCAGGCTGAAGGACTTCTTGTGACTACGGCAATGCTCTGTGTGCTATGCAGTGACCAGTCATCACATTGGCTCTCGGGCACCTGAGATGTTGGCAGTATGACCGAAGAACTGAATTTGCAATTATAATTAATCTGAATTTGAATTTCAGTAGCCACTCGTGGCTGGTGGGTACTGCACTGGACCGAGCAGCTCAGGGCTTGTAGGAAGAATAGTGATGGCAGCCTGTGTGCTGGGAGTGTGGAGGTACATTCGTCACACTGGACTCAGATGTGGGGCTGCTAAGTGTTCCCCAAACCCCAGCATCTTTGACCAGCCAGACCAATCAATACTCATGCCACTGCAGATCTCAGCCCATTCAGATGCACCTGGCACTGGGCTGACTGCATTAGAGGGTCACCCCAAGTCATCCTCTCCCTCCATCTGTAGGATGAATGATGATCTCCCACTTACAGGTGAAGCAATGGGGCACAGAGGGGTGTAGCCCTTGCCCCACATCCTCGGAGTCAGAATTCCCACCTAAAGATGTCTCACTAAGTGCAGGAGCACTGTGTCGCCTGGCAGGGTTGCAGAGAACTCGGAGGATCCCATTTAAAACAAATCTCTACAGTTGTTACAGTGTAAGGAGCCTGCAGCTCAACATGGTTCTCCTTTCCTGGGGTGTTCGTGGGTGTTCAGCCTTGGCAGGGTTTTAGTTCGGCACCTACCCTGGTGAGCATACACATTTATTTAGCATATGTGTTTGGCTTTATACCATTCGATGACTTCCCCCCCCCCCCCCCCAGCGAGTAATGTTGATATCTTCTGTTTTGCTGTCTGATTTCAGTCGCTACAAGCCATATCGAAGTCAGTGATGATCTGGTCCCTGTTTGGGCTTTTAATTCTCCTGTGGGATTGTGGTCTCCTGATTGACCAATCCCTTGTAGACCCACCTGAGTGTGTGGTTTCGGGATGTGTACGTATTCAAGTCCAAATGACCGAAATGGGATGAAAATGGAAATGTACACCCAAGACTGAAAGAGGCCTTTTGAAAACATTCTGTAATGTTAGGTTACCACTGATGGCCAGCAGCTGAACACCATCGACTGGAAACGATACTCTGTATGGGGGGGTTGAGTTATTGGGGATCAGCTCCTCTTGTAGATGGGCCACCTGCACTATGCTGGAGAAGCCGGAAACCAGGTCCAGAGCCCGCACCGGGCACCTTGCCTCTGGAGCCAGGGCCTAAGCCTCACCTGCTACCTTCGACCGTGGAGACTGTTTCCTCCCCCTTGTTTGCAATACGCAAACACCGTATAACTGAACCACGGAAGTCCTCTTGAGGAAACTTCTGTTTACCGATGGTCTGCTTCCCTGACGATGCATTTCTTGGCTTCCCTTCATACTGGCTGCTAGCTCACTTCACCAGGGGTAGGACCCCCAGGGTGGGGAACTAACCCCATGAGGCAGTAGGGCCCTCCCTCAGATCCCACCTCCAGATCATGGGCTGCAGGGAATCCAGACAGTGTCAAGGGGAAATGGGAGACAGAAAACCTGGCAGTCAAGATGAAGGCCAGTAAGCCGTGTGTACTGTTTTGAGAAGCTTGGAACTAGAGTACTCCTGGCACCCTGGTTTCAGCGAAGAACACTGCCAGGCCCCCACGAGCCTTCCTGGCTGAGGGGCTCAAGGCTAGCATCCTACCATTAGGCCATTTGCTTTTAAATTTGCCGCTGCACAATTTTAAGTTCAAAAGATGGGAAACACAGTTTAGCAATCTGTTACCAAGGCTGGACGGTGTTGGCTGCCGACTGGATATGATTCTGTCTGTAGCCCAGCTCCACGCATGAGACCCTCGGGAGGAAAGTACTGTCTCCTAATCACACACACAGAGGGCTTGCCTGAGGGTACACATTGCTTCTAGGAGCTCCACGGCGGGACAGAGAAACATACCCTCTATTGTGCGAAACCTTGTACAGTCCTGAATATCAATGTTATTCTAATGATTTAATATAACCAAGTCAGCATCTGCTTTGCAGAATGCCATTTCAGTTCTTTCTTTTCTCTTCCGAAATATGAATCCTAAGAGGCGAGTGGTTTCTTACTTAGATATTTTGGGCTGGCGTACCTATTATACTTCATATCCTAAACCTTTCGTCCTAGGGCATACAAAGTTAAGACCCATCAATTCATGCATTCAAAAGAGAGGTATAGGACTTGAATTCCAGGCCAGGCAGATGAATGCCAACCACCAAGTGAATCTTTACGGCGAGTTTGCAGTGAAGCCTAGCCTTATAAAGTAAACTGGGAGCCTCTGAGCTTGCGCTGCCCTCAGACTATCAACTGTTCACAGAAATGCTGGCATTAGTCTTGCTACGCATCTGGGCATTGGAGGCTACGGAGGGACCCTGGGGGTGGTGAGCCCGCCCAGCTTCATGAGAAACGTGGGCATACATACCCTTCCCGATGGGCCTCTCCTTTCTCCAACTCCTGAATGACCCCCAAGAGCACTTTGATGGTTTCTTGGCTGGAGCTGATCAGGTCCTCCATCACCTGTAGCTGTGCTTTCAGATCGACGACTTCCGTGTGAGGCACGATTTGTCGGCATTCTTCACCCACAGCGGCGGCCGTGGGACAAGGCTGGCTCTCCTCCCCCGGCGGGGCTCGAGTCTGCGGGGGCTGCTCGCTACATTCGGGGGACAGGCACTGCATCGGGGGCAAGCAGGCCGCCTCGGGGCCCTGGGGACCCTGGAGCGCATTGAGACGCGAGGCTCTCCTCCGCTCCTGGTCGGCCGCCGGGCAGAGGGGCCACTCGCTCGTGGCGGCAGAGTTTGACAAGGCAGCCTCGGGGGCCTTTGCGCTGGAGGCAGGTGCATAAACGGTGGCCACCTCGGTTTTAAACACGGTCCCGTGGGCCGACAGAGCGGCTTCCTCGGTGTCCGGTGTCGCCCTGTCGTGCTTTGCTTTCCCGTGCAGCTGGTAATCAGGCTCCTGGGAGGGAGGCCGGGCGGAGTTTTGGAGAGGCTCATCTCGGCAGCTGTGCACGTCAGGGTTTCTGCATGGCTCTGCACAGTTGAGCCCAGCAGGCTGGTCCAGCGCGTTCATGTGTTCATCGGAGTGGAAAACCAAGGCTGCCGTCCTGTGCACCCGGCCGGCACCGCACGGCCGGGCCTCCTCCCCGGGTCCTTCCTCGGGCTTCTCCTTCGCATCCACCGCAAACCCATTGTTGTGACTTTTAAAGGCATCCGCAGCGGGGATGCTTTTGAGAGTCCCTTTCTTGCGGTCCAGAGGGAAGGTCTGGTAACACTTTTTCAGGTCTGGCGAGGTCTGCACGCCTGTGCTCTTGGTGACATTGGGGATGGACCTCCGAGCGGGCACGGTCATGTACTTGCGGTAGGCTGCCCTGTAGGATACGGGCTTGGCCTCCCGCTTCTCGCCTGGCTGTCCCGCCGAGAGCTGCGTGTCCCTCTGCTCATTCTGCGCCTCGCAGATATCCTTAAACCGCACCTGGAGGGCTTTATTCCGTTTTTTAATCTGCCGGTTGGGATCCAGGGCATACTTCATCTCCAGGGCCAGGCCGGCGGCAGGCTCCACCTCACTCTCTGATGCCGTGAGGACACATTTGCCGCTTTCCTTACTGACCATGATTCCTGCGTTCAGAAACATCAACACAGGCATCAGTGAAATAGAAACCCACACGCGAACCCACAGGCAGCACAAACTTTGAGCGAACGTTACTACTGCCTGCTTCCTAATTATTTTTAAACAGGTGAGGTTGGCCTTTATGTTAAGGAAAATCAGACAGGCGGAGAATTGCTGGCAGGCACAGCTTGAAATGCTTCTCAGATATTAAAGCCTGCTTGCTTTTCCATGTGGGATACACTCGTTTCTTTTGATAGTAATGCATGTTTCCCCATTAGACAAACCTGTTTTACTATATTCATCAAGAAGCCCAACGACGCTGCCTCTTCCGCTTTGCAAATTATCATTTCACATACACGTCCCCACTTCATAGGCAGATGGTTTTCCAAATGCATCTTACTCGGTTTGGGTTTTTACTAAGTTTTTGAGGATGACGTGATTAATCTATTATTGGAATCCAAGAGAACTGCTGTTTTCTTATTGGTGATTCTAGGTCCTGATCAGATAAATATGGAGAGCCCTGCATGAGGGACTGACATAAATGTATTTGTCTTAGCCATTACAGATGTCATGGGACAGTGGGGCATACTGCTCGATGGGAGGACTGGAAAGGATTAATCTTTGTGGTGTGCCTTGCTTCTAATGGGTTAACACTAGCCCTAGAGAGAACATGGGTTTCCCTGCATCTATCACTCTTTTCTTTGCATTTTATGGAGAGTGGTATTTGAAAATACTTTTTTTTTTAAAGAAATTATTCATTCTAGAATCAAATTTTGTGTTTTGATCACAACCTCTGAAAATGAAAACAATGGTGGTTGTTTCAGTATTTAAATCCTGAAAGAAAATAAAATCACAAGGCTTTATGTTAATCATGCAAATTCATCTTGGGCTGAATTATTAAATGCATCTAAAAAGGTGCAGGTGGCCGATGATCCCTCTGGGGAATACCAGTGGGGTAAATGCCTTCACTTTATCAGGCAGATTCACAGCTGCTCATTGCACGTGGAAGAATTTTCTTGCAGGCTGAACTTAAAGGAAGAAAATATAGTTATGTTGCTTGTGAGTTAGTGTTTGAGAAGAAGATAGTCAGATGGGAGGGACTGGGGTGTGCAGGGGCCTGGCGTTGGAGCTCCCTGTCGAGAGAGGCAAGGTCACAGGCATGAGCTAGCTGAACAGGAACAGGCCCAGGCTGCACTGCCCAGTCCCCCCGTCGACAGACCTACGGGGCCCGTGGACCCAGGACTGAAACCTCCAGGAGCACTTCTCCGGACAAGGAACCGGGTGACTGGTGGCGGCCACTCCAGATGTCATTGAGTGTGTGGGCCACCGGGAGCTCCGCTGATGTGTGAAGGCTACACCTAACACCTTCAGTGCCATTCAGTCCCATTTGAAGGAGCAAAGTGGGGTTCAGAGAGATGATGTCACTCGTTAATATCACACAGCAAGTAGGACATACAGGCAGGAGCAGGATCCTGAGTTCATGCTGTTTCTCATAATGTCAGATGTCCAACAAACAGGCAAGACACCTCCCCATATCCTTAGTTCTTACTGGGTTAAGATTGCAGGCCAGTGGGCATGGTGGTCCGGTGAAGGAAAAAAGTGGGGAGAAGCCCAGAGTCCTCATGTGAGAGTGTGTTCTAGAACTTCCTCTCCCTGCAGTCCGGGGACCCCATTAGCCTGGCCTTTCATCACAGGCCAGCATGGTGCTGGCACTTTGCAGGTCTCCACTGGAGTTCCTGAACAAAAGACTTAGAGAAAACTGAATTATTTCATCACTTATGCCATGACCATGAACGGGCAATCTTGTTGGAGGCCAGCAGTCAGCTCTGCAGAATTTGGTTTAGGTCAGAGGGCCAGGGTTTCTCAGCCTTGGTGCTCCTGGCATTTTGGGCTGGCTGACCGTTTGCTCTCCTGTGCATGGAGAAATGTTTAGCAGCATCCCAGCTTCTACCCGCTAGATGTAAGGAGCATCCTCCCAGTGTGCCAGCTAGAAATGTCTCCAGACATTGCCAAATGGCCGTGGGTGTGGGGGAGGGGCACAGCCATCCATGGGGAAGATCTACCACACTAGACCTTTCATCTTGGGTGGCTGGAGTGTGTCCCTGAAAGGGAAGGCCTGGGAGAGCAGAGCGAATGGCCAGGAACAGATGGTATGTCCGGGCACCTGGGGGCATGGGTGGTCGGGAAGGTGCTTGTTCTGAAGGGCTGATCTGGAAATGCCCTAGCTCCGTGCTGAGCCAGGAGGGAGCCCCATCCTCAAGCCACTGTGTACCACTGTGTGTCTGTCCTCTGACAAAAGAATTAGTCCCAACGGTCGCTCTCGTAGGTAGTCTGGAGAAGACAGAGAAGCAGCCTTCTTTGGCTTTTAGAGCTTTCCTGGGTGCTGAGGATAGCTGGACGGCTTTGTAATTTGGAACTGGAAACACTGGGCAGTTTTGGAGAGACCAGGAAAGGAAAGGAACAGACCGGAGCCGTATCATCTCTTGGCTTTGTGTTGGGAGGACTAGATTTTGGAGAGTGGGTGGGATAGAACATGCCTGCTAAGGATGGATAATATATATCTTTTACAGACACTCATCCCAATAGGTTAAAATGATGTACACAAAAGGACGTGGTGTGGGGAGGGTATGGGGGCGGTGGGGGCATAATGAGAAAGTTAAATCTTAACTCTCCTCTCTCACAATCATTCTCGAACTGCCTTTGCTGTCCAGCTATGCCAGATGATACTGTGCCATCATTCTGCAGAAGACCTTCCTACCAAGGAAAATTTGAAAGGGAGAGCATTTTTACAAAAAGCAATTTACTAGTAATTTTTCAGCCTTTTCCCTGCCACTCCTGAAAAATGTGCGTCTGAATAAGTTTGTCCTACCGTGCTATTCATCATTGCGATTTGCCAGGAACTGCACTGAAATAATTTTCTTACATCAGTCTGCTGGTTTGGAAGGATACTCTGAATCTTGGACTCAACCATCAAACTAATAAAACAAATCAGAAAAATTAATTGCCAGTGGCAAAATAATAAAAATAAAGCAATTCTAAGCTCTTATCTGTTTTACAGGGACTTAATAAGTATATAAAAATCATTTTCTTATTAGTAAAAAATGATGGTGATACTTAGAGGACTTTTTTTTCTTTTTTTTTTTAAAGATTTTATTTATTTATTTGAGAGAGAGAGAATGAGAGACAGATAGCAAGAGAGGGAAGAGGGTCAGAGGGAGAAGCAGACCCCCACTGAGCAGGGAGCCCGATGTGGGACTCGATCCCAGGACTCCAGGATCATGACCTGAGCTGAAGGCAGTCGCTTAACCAACTGAGCCACCCAGGCGCCCAGAGGACTTTTTTTTCTCGGGGTAGTCTGCTGGTGAATTCATTTTTCAAGTAGTAGAAAGTGAATTGTCCTCATCCCACTGATAAGAAAGACGTCAAGGGATTCTTGTAGTTGACTTATTTGGACTTCAGATGGAGATCTGCGCTCCTTTTGGTGGCTGGGTGGCGTTTTCTAAAACCGTAGAATGGAATTTTCCTGGACATTAGGAATTACTTTCCTATTAAATGGTTATACCTTTCCAGGGTGTTCACTTACTGTTTATTGGGGTGGGGGGGCTGGTAGTGATTATTAAGAAAATGGTTTTGTCATGAAAGGAGATGGGTATTCTAACAGAAGACGTCCCACAAGTCGAACCTTCCGGCTCCCTTCATTCATCCATCATCCCTTCATGCATCCATTCAGCAAATGAGTGTGCATATGTCCCAGTGTGATGTCAACGTGCAGTCCATACGTACTTCTGTTCCTCACCAAATGCAGCATATCCTCGGCGCTGCACTTGGATTTCCTCCTTGACCCTCAGGACAGCCTCACAGGGGAGGCACTCTTGCCAGCCTCAAGCTGCAGATCGAGAAATTGAGGCTCCAGATTTTTTTTTTTTTTTTTTGTAATTCGCTGGGAGTCACCCAGCTCGAAGGCTGCTCCCTGCATCCCTCTAAATCCCAGGCACTGAACCCCTCCCCTGCCCAGGGAAACCTGTAGCCTGCAGGCTGTGTCCTGTAATGAACGTCAGAAGGCATCCAGTGGCTGGAACTCGTCGAGCAATTTCCTTGACCTGTTTGTCATGAGGTATCCGGGTGCAGGTTATGCAGAGCACCTGGGCACAGAGTGAGTGAGGGCTGTCGGGAGTGCTGGACCCCTCCGGAAGCCACAGTGGCATTTTCGGGGACAGCTCGCCTTGGCCTTGTCACCTCCGAGGACCGTGGGCTCTGGTTCTTGGAGTTAATCTCTTGGCTCCAAAGCAGCAGGAGTTCATAAAGTTTATTTTTTATACGAAAATGGTGTTCTGGAATTCATCGGACTGTGCCGTCTTGAGGTGAATCTGGCGAGTCATGGTGGAGCGCGTCTGGCTTGGGGAGAGCTGGTGTTGGGGAGCTGTTCGGAATGCAAATGTCTTAATTACCCTCCAATTAAAGTGTATAATCAAATGTGAGTTGTAAATATATAAACCCTGTACTTTTATTTTTTTTTTTTAAGATTTTTTTATTTATTCATTCCAGACACAGAGATACAGAGAGAGAAAGAGAACATGAGTAGGGGGAGAAGCAGAGGGAGGGGGAGAAGCAGGCCCCCCGCCGAGCAGGGAGCCCGACGCGGGGCTCGATCCCAGGACCCTGGGATCATGACCTGAGCCGAAGGCAGACGCTTAACCATCTGAGCCACCCAGGCGCCCCTAAACCCTGTACTTTTAGATTAGTGATGGAGAGTCCTGTCTGCGTGCAGCTTTAAATTAATAGCTTATATAAAAATGTTTTTTCCAGCTTAAAGGAGTGAAAAATGGAAGCAACTAAATACCCAACAATAGTTAAACGGTTAAGTAAATGATGGTGTACATCCAGTGTGGCCATTAAAATGATAATTATAAAGATTATTTAGTATCATAGAAGAACACTTATGAAATCATGTTAAGTGAAAGCAAGCAGTCTCCCAAATTGTACTGGAAGAAAATGAACCCACATGGTCATCATTGTGGTGTTAAGATAGTGCTTTTTGGGAGATTTATCTTCCC